GACTAAATGTACAGAATCAACTTTTCTTTTGTCAACTTTTATTGAGAACTGTCATTAGAATATTGCATGTGGCAAAGATATGGCACCTCTTCCCAGGTTCTCGTTGTGCTTGTACGCACTGAGTAAAATGCAGAACTCGCACACATCAATAGCAATTCCCATGCACGCAAGGGCTGTGTCAGTCAGGTCCGTGCTCCAAAGGAGCGACTGAGGTAAGGAGGGGATGAAATCTAAGCAGCTGGAGAGAAGGAGACAAAAACACTAATACAGAATCAAAAGAATGACAGGGAACAAACAGGCCTGAGAAAAGCTAGAAAGAACTGGCAGGGGAGTGAACGAAGAGCAGGGACTAAATAGGGAGAAACTAATCAGGTGCAGCTGGTATGAAGCAGGTGTAAAGGATAGCGTAATCAGGGTAAGGGAGAGAAAACAGAGTGAGGGGAGAGAGAAAGTAGGTGCAGCCGGGAAAAGCTGACAGTCATAGTTACAGACTAAATTGCTGTGAAATGTGGAAACATTTGAGATGTGGATGGTCACTCAGTGGTCTGGAACCAGGCTAGAAATCCAAAGCCAAGCTAGCAGAGTGACCTGTTTGACTGTGATGCAACTTTGTTATGCACATTGTATCCACTTTTAATTCCCAGCTGCCTTGATTTCCAGTAATAAGATTGTTTTTTCACGTACTGTATCACCTTCCAGCTGAGCTTTTGACCAGAGTGCGTCAGTTCTTGAGGCCTAGTCCAGATACGATGCATTACATCCTCACTCATTTCCACTGGCTCTGGGACATCATCAACCACACCTTCCTACGGGAGGGTCTCATGAAGCTGGTTCTAACAGGTCTAGATTCAACAGTTCACTCAAAGAAATGAATTTACAGTGTCACATATTCAATATATCTGGTAACTGTTTTTTTGTATGAACAGTTAGGTCCAACTTAATACCCAGTCCTCCGACCTACAACTCGAAATATGGCTACATCAGCTGGGAATCCTACTATAACCTGAGCTACTACACTTGGCTTCTGCCTCCGGTGCCAAAGGACTGCCCTACACCTCTGGGGGTCAAAGGTTAGACCTTCATTTGTGTTAAGTTTAAAGCTGCAATAATCAATAGTTTTGTGTCATTAATAGATCAAATGACTGCATGTAAAGTCAAAGGTGAACTCTGTAGTTGCCCTCGGCACTTTCCACAAATAGATGATTTTAATGTGCATACTGTGTGGGCCCGTGACCCCGTTTGGGTCTAAGCGGGTTAGAAAATGGATGAATGGATGGATACTGTGTGGGTGACAGCATCAGTAATGTCAAATCTTTTGCCAGGTGCTTTGCCAGTAAAACTAACTCTTTCACCACAGTGACACACATAAAGATTGTTGACCTTGGGCAGTGCAGAAACACAGAGTGATGTGTTCAGCGTATCTGTACTGTTTTACAGATGCACTATTTCAGTATTATGACTAGAGGCGTGTTTTGCTCTGTGCCGGGTGTGACGCTGTGATGTTCCCTTCAGGCAAGGCTGGGCTGCCTGACCCTGAGCTGCTGGTTGAGAGGCTACTGAAGAGAAGGACATTCAGACCTGACCCGCAGGGCAGCAACCTGATGTTTGCTTTCTTTGCACAGCACTTCACGCACCAGTTCTTTAAGACCTATAATCGCATGGGTCTGGGCTACACTAAGGCTCTATCACATGGGGTTAGTCCATTTAGAGCATTTATCCATGTAATAATAACAATGATAAACCTTATTTTTTACAGCAGGTTTCTTTATTTAGTAGTTTCCAAGGAGAATCAGAAAATGTTAAAGGTAGATTAAAATATAAAATAGCAAAAGTGGAGAGTTAAAACAGTTTTAATTTCTTTTAAGTGCACAACAACAGTCCACTGTTAATAATAAATCAAACAAAATGTCTGAGAGTCAGGAGAGCCTCCGATAGAGTCTTAACTGGGATAGTGTCTATACTACAGCTTGAGATTTAGTGACCATAAATGAGACTTTAGGGCTATGGTTGCTTCTGTTTTGTGTTATAGTCAAGGAAGGAGAGGTGGTGACTATTGAACAAAGGCATTCATTCATAGTTCATTTAGATTTTGTGAACGCTTTGCTGAAGTGAAATATTGACAAAGTAGAAAAATACCCAGAATCTGGCTGCAGTGTTTATAGGTGCTTTTAATGTGACTTTATACCAAGATAATAAAAAATACAAAAATATTCCAAGTAGAAAAAAGTAAGGTGTAGGAAGAAAATTATTGTGTGGTGGCTCTGCACTATGTAAATGTATTTGTTTTCATTCTCTCACTTGATTTTTTGGCTCATCTTGTGTCACTTACAGGTGGATGCAGGCCACATTTATGGAGACAACCTGGAACGTCAGCTCCACCTCAGGCTTCACAAAGACGGAAAACTCAAGTATCAGGTTAAAGTTGAAACTTTGAATAGAGTAATCCACAAAAACATATCTCAACATGACGGAGGCAAAAATAAAACCTGCAATCTTGTTGTAGTTTAATAGTATTTGCTATAATTTCTCTTTCGAGAGCAGAATAAAACAGAATTGTGTAACACTTATTAATCAAGCAATTTCTATCTTTCTGTGCCAAACATCACTGAAGTAAATGTGTGGAATGTACCTTTTTTGTTGTAGTGCCAGAGCAAGTGGAGAAGGCTGTGAAGGGGATTTTACAATGAGTTTGACTGTATTATCAATAATTATTGTTTTTCTCATTAGTTAATTGATGGAGAGATGTACCCTCCCTCTGTGGCCGATGTACCCATTAGGATGAGTTACCCCCCTGGGGTTCCACCTGAGGTTCAGATGGCGATTGGTCAGGAGGTGTTTGGACTCCTCCCTGGTTTGGGAATGTATGCCACGCTGTGGTTGAGAGAGCATAACCGAGTCTGTGACATCCTGAAGGCAGAACATCCCACTTGGGATGATGAACAGCTTTTCCAGACCACACGCCTCATCATCATTGGTGAGCTGGACACAAACAAACAGTTTAACACTCTGGGAAAAAGTCTTATCCATTTTTTCCAGTGCATTAGATAAGAAGATTGATACCACTCTTGCCTGTAGTTTAAATATAAAGCTATTGCTGGTTAGGTTTAACATAAAGACTGAAAACAGGGGTATCAATCCTCTCCTCTATGTCTGCCTCTCTCTGGTGCACACCTCCACATAAGCTCATTTTAGTGGAGTCAGTTTGAGTTTGAATGTGTTCAGCTGTGACTGAATTCACTGTTTTTTCAGGTGAGACAATAAAAATCGTGATAGAGGAGTACGTGCAGCACCTCAGTGGATACCTGCTCCAGCTGAAGTTTGATCCCACCCTGCTGTTTAACACTCACTTCCAGTTTGGGAACCGCATTGCTCTGGAGTTCAGCCAGCTCTACCACTGGCACCCCTTGATGCCTGACAGCTTCTTTATCGATGGAGATGAACTCTCCTACGCTCAGTTCATGTTCAACACTTCTGTTCTCACAAACTACGGCATTGAGAAGCTGGTGGATGCCTTCTCTCGGCAAGCTGCTGGCCAGGTAACAAACGGCAAACGTTAGAACTAATGTAGTGATGTAGCATAATAAATATGCAAAGAGAAATAATTATATTTTTATTGTGCAGGTATTTAGACCTTCTTGCAGGTATAACTAACTCTTTAAGCCATAATTGACACATAATCTGGAGTAATGCGAGATTCAGATAGCTGTGTTAATTTTTTTTTTTTGACGTTCACATTTAGTCTTCCTGTGTTGCTAGATTTGTTTCCTGTAATTGTTGTGCATAATTACAGTGTTTTTGTACTATTGTATAATAACGGAGGTTGAATGGAGACTGTATAAACAGACGGGTGGCAAATTAAAGGGAAAAACAACATAAAGTGTCTAAAGTGTCATAGTCACTTTGTGGCACCAGAACAGCTTCTGTGTTCCTTGGCATTGATTCTGCAAGTCTCTGGAACCATACTGGAGGGATGAACAACATTCTTCTAGCAGATATTTTCTCATTTTGTGATTGCAAAGGCCACAGTATATGATTTACATCATGCATATTGTATTTTGACAGATGTTATTTTTCATATCAGATATATAATTCTCAAACTGTTCTCCAACAGATTGGCGGGGGCCATAACATCAATGTTATGATTACAAACGTAGCTGTGCGCACAATACAAGAGTCCCGTGAACTCCGCATGCAGCCCTTCAACGAGTACAGGAAGCGTTTTAATCTTAAGCCGTACACATCATTCAAGCAATTTACTGGTAAGAGTTCTTTGTATAGACCACACAAGGATGTGCAACCTTCAAAGTGTGTGATTTATGACTTTTACAAGTCTGTGAGAGCAGCTGAATGCACATTCTTGGAATAGGTGGCTCCATTTATAGGCATTTTGAAAGACTTGTGCATCACTATTACGGTCATTTAGCAACAGGGTAGGGTAGCAATGGAAAACATTTTATATCACATTCTTTAGCTGATGATGTAGTCTGAATTGCTTGACATTCACTGCAATAAATGTGCAGTTTAGACAGTTATCTATTTACCTCCTGTGGTTCTGGCTCAGGAAAATGATTACCATGAATAAGACTCCATTGCTACATTGCTACATTAGTGAGTACTTTACGCTAATACTTACATGTTAAATGCTAATGTGCTCACACCGCTGGCATGGCTACAACCCTACAAATGAGTCCTTTATGCAATTAATTGTAGATATTTTTATTAACAGTGGAATACTAATTTCCTTTTGCAGACAACAAGGAGATAGCCAGTGCACTTGAAGAGTTCTACGGTGACATTGATGCTCTTGAATTTTATCCTGCTTTGTTGCTGGAGAAAACACGATCAGGAGCCATATTTGGAGAGAGCATGGTGGAAATGGGCTCCCCCTTCTCTCTTAAAGGCCTTCTGGGAAACCCTATATGTTCTCCAGATTACTGGAAGCCCAGCACCTTTGGGGGCAAAGTTGGCTTTGACCTAGTGAACTCTGCCACACTGAAGAAGCTGGTCTGCCTGAACACCAGAACGTGTCCTTATGTGGCATTCAGAGTACCCACAGAGGCGCAATCACAGACAGGGAAAGATGACAGTAAAGTAAAGACTGATGAACTATGACCATTTTCACACGGGTTATAGTCTTATATCTACATATGAAAGTAAAAGGCTGCTACTAAAAATTAACAAGTGTTGAAGATGAAGACTTTTTTTTGAACAGCACTGGTAATTATTTTCCATTTTCACATTGTCATGTCTAGATGTTAAAAGCCATTCATTCACTTCTATAGGCAGTTTAGACACCAATCAACCTTTGGACTGTGGGAGGAAGCCGGAGTACCCGGAAAGAACCCACGCAAGCATGGGGAGAACATGCAAACTCCACACAGAAGGGTCCCAGGTGGGGCCCGAACCCAGAACCTTCTTGCTGTGAGGCAACGGCACTAACCACTGTGCCACCGATGTTAAAAGACATTGTGAAACATAATCATTCATTAAAAAAAAACTAGACACAAAGTGGATTCTTGTCCATTCATTTAAATTAGTTGTGAATATTGATGGCAAGATAAGAGGCCCAGCAGCAGGGTGTACATTTTTATTATTTCAATAAAACATAAAACCAAAGTTGGAAAGTAAAGATGATTACATAGGGGAGTATTTATGTCAAAGACCCTCCAGAAAAGCCTATTTTGCCTTACATGTGTGTGGTTTTAGTAGGAGCAGCAGAAGCAATAGTAATAATACAAGTAGTGTCATATTTCATAATCATATTGCCCTCTAGTTGTAGAAGTAGGAACTGCATGTCTTCCCATTTGTATCTGTGCAGACCACAACCAGCTCCAAATGAGTGGCAGATCTCCAAAATCATATAAATCCTTTTTTGATGAGTATTTTCTGATTATATAGTACGCTTTTAAAAACATATCAAAATTTAATAAGATTGAACAAAATCTGTAATGTATTAGAATAAAACTGGCGTTAGATCCCAAGTTAGCTCATTTAAACCTAACCTTAAATTAAATGCATTGATAATGAAAATAATATGATGGAATACTTTCCCCTCATTTTTCTGTGTTAATTAGGCTACTTGAAACACATAAAAATGGAAGCAATTTAATAAAACACTGTGTAACAATGGAGCTCAATACAAACTAAAAAAAAACTACAATGAAGGCTTTACATTTTAATTTTATCTGCAAGACAAGACTACAAGATGGAGGACCTGGATTAAATGGTCTTCAAGTGGTAAAAATGTCTAACAAATTGCAATTCGTTGTATTATGTAGACCCAAATTATATGGAGTAAACTGTGGTGATCCAGCCTGCAAAGAGGTTCATCATATTTAATACTGGGTATTGTGCGATACCAAATATAAGCCAGCCGGAAGAATTGCACCCCATTTTACACATGTGTATGCGATTTCGGCATAGTCTTTGCCTGAGTGATGCGTCCGCTAAATCACTTAAGTTCGCATACATGGTGCCATTTGATGATGTAACAAGTTCACGTGTCACGTGGATAAATCACCCTCTTGTGTTGTGGGTATATAAAATTAAGTGGAAAATATTTGTATTTACATAGTTGTAACAAACATTTTATATTAATCGACATAATTACTGAAGTGGGCTCCATTTTGTCCACTCATAAATATATCTTAAAACACAACTCTGAGCCAAACGTCTGTTGTTTTGCGCTGATATATCATAATTACGACATCTCTGGGTTCTTTGAAGGCAGCGTACACTGTGGGAGTGGCTTGCGGCAGCTAAAGCTAACGGATTAGCTTGAGTGCTCAGTGGGAGTTGGTGACATTTTACCAACATTAGCTGGTCGTAAAATTAAGGTAAGGTTAAAATGTTTAT